ATAGACCACATAATGAGAATTACTAAATCAGATGAGAATGTGATAACTTTGGGTGACTGGAATGCTGTAATAGACGAAGGGAAAAAAGGAAACATAGTGGGAAACTACGTTTTAGGTACTAGAAATAAAAGAGGAGAACGATTGGCAAAATTCATACCCAACATAAATTGATGATTTCAAACACCATGTTCCAAAACCATAAAAGAAGAATATACACTTGGGAGAGACCAGGAGATTCAGCAAGATTTCAAATAGATTATATTACGACCAAAAAACGCTTCAAAAATCAAATCAAGCAATGTAAAACATATCCTGGTGCTGAAATTAATAGTGATTACAATTAAATAATCATGGAAACAAAATTAAAATATAAAAACTTAGGAAAGGTAGAAGTATTAAAAAATGGAATTTGGAAACGCTGAAGGTAGAAGAGAAAAAGAATAGAATTTAAAAATAAATGTAGAATTCCCCAATATAAAAGCAAAAGTAATAAACAGTCATACAGTAGAAGACAAGTGGAATGTTATTAAGCAAACATTAAAAAGCCATGCAAGATAAATAATTGGGATCCAAAGGAAAGATGTTAGAAAACCATAGGTAAATGATTGGATGAAATATGGATGAAATATTTATCACCCAAATAATCAAGAACAGAATAGAGAAAACGATGAAAACCTGGGTAACGATCAATTTGGGTTTAAGAGAAGTGTCGATACTATAGAGGCAATCATAATACTAAGAATACTATTGGAAAAACAAATCAGAAGAATAAAAACACATTCATTGCTTTTGTGGACCTTGAGATGACCTTCGACAATGTGCAGTGAAATTAGTTATTCGATATTCTGGAAAAAATTGGTATAAAGTATAATGATAGAAGATGTATTTATAACTTATACAAAAACCAAACTGTACTAACACGCATAGGTAGGGAAGAAGAAGAAGCACAAATTAAAAAGAGTGTAAGACAGGGCTGCATTCTATCACCAATACTATTTAATCTATACATAGCGGAAATGATGAAAGAATTAAAAATGAAAGTAACTCAAGGTATTAGAATAGGTGGCGAAACTATAAATGCACTCAGATTTACCGATGACATAGCGTTTTGTGCAGAAACGGAGGAAGACCTACAAAACATTCTAAATAATGTGAATAAAATTCTAAAAAAAAAAAATACGAAAATAATAGAGTGCAGTAGAACAAATCCTACCCAGCTAGACATAAAAATAGATAACACACATATAGAACAAATATAACAATTCAAATACTTGGGAAGTAAAGTAACAGAAAATGGCCGCAGCAAAACTGACATTCTCTGCAGAATAGCGCAAGCGAAGAAGGCTTTTCAAAAAAACATTTATTGACCACTAATAATGTGTCCTTACAGACAAGAAAAAACTCTTAAAAATATACGTGTGAAGTATTGCTCTATATGTGTGTGAAACTTGAACAGTTAATAAAGTAGAGAGAAACAAACTTTAGGCCTTCGAAATGTGGTGTTATCAAAAAATGTTAAAGATTAAATGGATTAAAAGGGTGACAAATGATGCAGTACTAACTAGAGTCAAGGAAAAACGACAATTGTGGCATAGTATTAAGGTTAGGAGAAACAAAATGATAAGCACTTACTGCGCCATGATAGTTTAACGAGGAATATTATAAAAGGTGGCGTAGAAGGTTATATTAGAAGAGGAATACCAAGGATGGAATATATGAAACAAATCATGATTGACATGGGAAAGGATAACTACAAGGAACTAAAGGAATTAAGTTACAATAGGGAAGCATGGATAACTGCAGCAAACCAGTCAAACGACTGAAGACGCAAAGAAGAAGAAGGAAATGCTGCATCTCCAACAAAAAATCCACCGGTTGGTAACATACCATTTTCAAGTAAAGAGAACTGAAAGAGAACTGTTTTGTAAAACACCACCATCTGAACATCTTTCATTAGTTCCAATATTTGTTTAAGTAAAACAATAGTCATCATCTACAACTGCCAATAAAATAATACTGTTTGACCCTTTATAATTAAAAAAGTCACTGCCACAATCAGGCGGTGCACGTATCATCTCATGTTTTTCATCTATAGCACCATATACCCCTGGAAAATTTCATCTAGAATGAAAACCCTTTTCAATAACATTCCATTCTTCACGACTAGCAGGTAGCTGAAACATTTTGTGTACCAAATTTAAATTTATTTTAAATAGATTATTAGAAAACTTTTTTTATTTTTAAAAATACATCAAATATTAATTAAAGGCATTCCTGCTTTATACTTAGTAGGCATATTAATAATATAATTAAAATAATATTGTAAAAAAATTTAGTGGGTATATTTTTAATTTCAAATCATAACCAATTTTCCAAGTTTTGAAAATAAAATTGTAGCCACTGAACAACCCAAGACACTGAAGAAATACTACTTCAAGAGTTTGAAGAGAATGACATCTCATTTTCACATTCAACACCAATATTAGAAGCTCATATAGATACCAACAAAAATAATCGAAAAGAATCAAATAAAAAAGGAATTTTTCGTACTATTAATGAGCTAAAACAATTGCAAGAAAATATAAATAAACCAGAAGTACCTCAACCTGAAAACCAATTCGATATTTTTGGAAAGAGTATTGCAGTTCAGTTAAAAGCTTTACAATTTTAAAACGCTTTGATTGTACAATCAAGAATTCAAAGCATATTAAAGTTAGGTTTGGCTAATCAGTTTGGGCAACGGTGGTAGTGGAAATGCCAAAGAGTCACAACACCTACACTCAGGTGTAGCTTGCGGCGTCTCTTGCGTGTGACCAGGTGTTGAAAAGTCTCTGATATAACAGCCCTGATCCTGGCGAGGACATCTTCAGCTCATACATTGACCACGGAACGAACAAAAGTCAGTGAGAGACAGTGCAACCAAGGCACACAATCATTATCAAGAATAAGGAACGCAAATTTACATTGGACAAATAGCAGGAGTTATAAGTTGAAATCAGCAATGATCAGTGGACGAAGTTAATTCCTGAAATGGGACCATGGATAATGGTGTCCAAGCAAAAGGAAATGGAATTATACATGTCACAAGTGCTCACAGGTCACGGATATCTGCTTAAGAGGAAAAATTCCAATGACTCCAGGTATACACAATGAGTGGATTGACGACACGGAAGAAAACACGTTTTTTTACTATCCCCAATGAACTGGCCCACGGGAAGTAGCGCAGAAGTTGATTGGTGGGAAATAACGTTCGAAGGATATTTCGGAAATTTTTCTGGTAGCAAAGGACGCTGACGGGTAGTTGCCGGCTGACATAAATGCAGTGATGAGACTGTTGAATACGACGGAGCGTCAGCTTCGGACCTTTAACTAAATGGGCTATGCTATTATGGGTGAAATAATAGAGTGAGAGCGCGAACGGGGGAACTTCAGAACTTGAAGGCCTAAATAACCTACGCTACTTTATTCCATACTGTGAGCGATGACCAAATGGAATGTGTCCCATCTGTCATTTCAATGATTACGTAATAAATATTAAATAACGAAAGGCCGGGAATGTGAAAACAAATCCTTTTCGGTGTCTCAAATAAATTGGGGGGGAAAAGTTGTGTTCGTAGAATGTGTGACCAGTGGTGGCCCATGTGTGTAATAGTTGAGAAACGAATTATTGTATGTAAGTACGTATCAATTCATTATATGTATACCTGACCTAGTTGAAAAATACAATATTATTTTTTCTAATTATCATTATTATTATTAAAATAATATATATATATATATATACATATAAAATATATTTTAATTTAATTTGTTTGTTTTGAATATAGTGTCAAATTTCACAATATAAAATTAATAAAAATTATAGAGAATTTAATTACAAATACTGAAAATATACTATTTAAGTAAGAATTTTCTAACATTAATAAACAATTATATTTCTTTTAATTAAGCATAAGATATTGAAATCCTTTTTATACCACATGAGTTTAATGTGTACAATGATAAGTATTAAATTATCTAAATCATATTTGGAATTACTACTAAATGACAAATTGTATTTATTAACAGTAAAGTATAAATCTTTTAAGTTGCGAGATAATACTTAAAAAATATGTAACTAAATTACTCAAATCATTATGATTCTTTTCTATGATTAGGATTAATTATTAAAAATGTTTAAAATATTAGATAATAGTATGGTCTATAAATTTATTGTAGTCTTTAGAGAAAAATTTAATTGACTACGGATTTTTATATTTTGTGATAACTAATAAGGAACATCTTGCAGCCATTCGGATTAACTGTCTCTATATGCTTATAATTTATAATAACTAATAATAGTGACTATATATATTAATAGCAATGTAGTACATAAAAAGTCCACTACGGTCTAAGAGCTCTGTTGATATCAACGGTGTAGGTGGCAGCTCTATAGGAGGCAGTGGTAGTTGAGAGTGTAGGCGGTGCCGGCAATCCTAGAACCTAACTTTCCACTCTAATCACATACAAATTCAAAAGTGAATTTTATATTTTATGTATGTTTAGATTTTTTCATCCACTCGTTTTTAATAATATAAAATAATTTTTTTTTTCATTTTTAAATCCACATTGATAAACAATTTATCAAATAAAAAAAGATTTTGGCAAAGACTTTCGTTTTCAAAATTTAAATTCCAAATAATTATATTCCATCGATCGAATACAAACCACCAAAAAGAAGACACAGAGGTAGACTCAAGAAATTATAAATGCGTCAAAATCTAGAGAAACTAGAGTAACGGATTGGAAGGAAAATATCCAGGATCGTGATTATTAGAGGTCAGCGATAGCGGCAGCCAAGAATCTTTCAGAGTTGTTAGGCTACATAAGGAAAGAAAGTAGAAAACGAATTGACACAATTTAAGATTTAGAGGTATTGGAAAAATATTACCGTTTGAATTAAAACGACAATGTTTTTATATTCAGAATTTATAATTAAATTGTAAATTATTACAACAGTGTTAAGGCAACAACGTAATAATCCGAGGCAAAATGCCATATTTCTTGTATAGTATGTAGTCGTAAATGAACTTTAGAATTATTACAACTATTAAACTTGCTAAAAATATATTCAAACTATCCCAAAAATCCACCATGTTTATTCCCTTCGCTGAGTTCCTGCACAATGTATTCCGTGGAAGATCGTGAATCTAAAACATGTAAATACCAAGATGAATAAATAAAAAAAACATCAGTTATAAATATTAATATGTGCACGGGCTATGTTTTGACACAAAATTAAGGTATAGTATACTACAAATGGCTTTAAACATACTTAACATGAAATTAATTACAAATTATGAAACCATAGCCCTCAAACGAATATATTTAGTATGACCCACTATTTTTTTTTGAGGAATAAATAAAAAATACATAAATTAAAATGTGTACATGAAAATATTTTATGAGTATAAATTCGTTTAAACAATCGTATGTCCAGGAGGCTCTTCGGATCAACGGCCCATTTCAATAACCTCATAAATCTAGGTCGATGCATACATCAAATCATATTTTTGAGGCGTTAAGAGTATATTATTTTTTATAATAGAAAGAAAAGAAAAAACATCAAAAATATATTGGCTGGCGGTTATGTTAATCCCACATCAGTTATCGTTTCTAAACAAATTCCGCGTAAGCGAATACAATTCAAATCTTATTCCACTTCGCCTTCAGGAAAATTATAAAAACGTAGACGATATATCAAGTTTATATAAAAGTATTTTAACCTTATATTAATGTATAGATCGCAACTTGTGAGTTATGAGCAGTGCCGGCTCGATAGTTTTCGGAACCCGGTGCAGAATTTTGCGGGACCCATATATATTAATATATTAATTGTTTCTATAAATCTATATTTATTTATTTTGTTATATAATTAAATATATACTTTATCTATAATTTGAACCGTCATCGATGATAAACAATTTTACAAGTGCATGCATGAATAATACTGTATAACACTGTGTAATACTGAATAGCTATGTATAATTTGTACCGTCTTAATTTTCGACGATAACAACTCATTTTCTGAGAAAATCACACGACCACACGGGTAACAATTTGCATATTACTGAGACTATATAATTTTTAGTAATATATGAAGTTAGTTATATTCATAATACATAATTTGTGGAGCCCATAGAAGCGCGGAACTCAATGCGGTCGCACCGCTAACCTTCCCCCCCCCTCTAGGGCCGACACTAGTTGTGACCTTTTGTTGCAACTTAAAATGTAAAAAAAAAAAAAACAACAAAAATATTCATTGTATTATACGAAATGTAAGTACATGAACTGAATCAATTTAAAAATTAATTTACCGTTTTCCATCCACTGTATATTCTTACCGGGGTTAAATAGTATTCGTCATCTTGCTGATAAGAACATTTTATATCTGATAGATCCATTATCAAAGATTGATATTTAATTAGAAAATCCTTCAGAGACGATTTTGAAAATATAAAAATAAAAAATAAATGTGGGTACGGTATAATTTTTAAGTTCAATTATAATAGGTATAGCAGTTAAAAATATTACCTGGAAAGCTGGAGCAAATAAACAATCACATCGCCAAGGATTGGCGCCTAAATAAAGTTGACCAATATTGTTATTTCGCTGAAAAGCATTGTCTAATGCGTACGTCGGCACCTAACGTCACAATATGTTTAAGATATTAATTAACAATCCGTCAAAATAAATAAATTAAAATTGCCACTGACTTTAGTCAGATTATTTCCTTTAAAACTCAGTACTCGGCATTGTGTCAACCAACGCGATCCTTCTAATATGCTTATTGAACTGATCCAATTATAGTCCAAATGGATGTCCAAAAGATTCGCGTAATGACGATTCGTAAGCAAATCGTCCAACGCGGATACCTAAATTCACCATAAGTCGTTACCATTTAAAAGAATATGGTAAAATAACAAGTTTTTTATGATAATTTATTAAGATAAATATTACCTTATATATGTTACGGGCAAAGTATACAATTTGAGCACTTTATACAATGCCCGGTCATTTTATACATTGTCCGGACAGTATATAAAATGCCCTTCGTATATTGGGCAATATAGATAACGGATGATATAATTTAATGAAATATGATAAATCGTAAAACATAAAAAAATAAAGTTAAAATAAAGTCAAATTATTATCTAAAAATTATTATCTGCAACTAATTTGTTTGTTCTTATCGTATTTTTACAATGGGGATGTCCGCTTGTCCACATTTTATACGCGTGTACGTGACATAATATTACTACTATAATTACTGATTTATAAGTTATATTATATGAAGTTGTAGTGATTATCGTGCAGTCGGCCTTTTACCTATTCTCAAAAATGAACTATTTAGTAACCGTGAATCGTTTGTATAATGCAGGTTAATTCATTCAGTGAATACCTAACTACTTATTCGAATATGGAAAAGTTTAATGAAGATTTAAACAATTTTTTTTTTTAAAAAAAAGGTTCAAATACTTCATTTTTTACTAAGTTAAAATTTGATCAATTAATTTTACATAAAAATCATTAAAAAAACTATGACGTGTTAAAAGTTTCTGATGTTAATAAGTTAATTGTACCAGTATCTGAAAACAACAAAATTAAATATTATGTACATTTATCGATTGGACAGGATGGAACACGAGGTAAATACAAAATATAAAAATATCACCAGAGATATAATTATGCTATACTTAAATAGTTGAGAACCATGTAAAAGAAATGGAAGCACAGCCAAGAAAGAATTGGTGGTGCAATAAATTATATCTACTGAGATGAATTAATCAATAATATAAATACATATCATTATTCATTGATTTATCATATTTTATTAAATCATATCATCTGTTATCTATATTGCCCAATAGGTTAGGTTAACCTAACCTAACGAAGGGCATTTTATATACTGTCCGGACAATGTATAAAATGCCCATATTGTATTCTTTGCCCGTAACATATACACTCACAGGAATTTTCATTATTGTCTGTTTAAGCCGTTTTATAATAAACAATTGCACGTTTTAATCATTTTAACCACACGTAGACTTAAGCATTTATAATTCCCCAAAAAATCTTTCAAAAAGTAAAAAAAAAAAAAACATCAAGCTCAAAATTAGAACTATTATATTCTTGCAATAGAAAATTACCTATCTAAAAAATACACCGATATCACATTATCAAAACTTTTAATTTACAAGATACTTCAACCATTTCCCTAAACTTCTCTTTTTTTTCCTTGGTTATAAATATTATCTTTGTACCTGTTTTGTTTGGATATCATTGTCCAATACTTGGCAGCTGATTTTAATATTGATGTTTGCCTAATATGTGTATTTTAGATAATTATATGTATATATCAACCACCAATTATTTAATCGTGATATCGAAACAAAACAGGTACAAAAATATTATAATAACTAGAGCGCGGATTTGTATGCACTTAAAAGTATTTAAATATGCTATATAATATGTAGTAAAAATCATGAAAATATGCAAAAAATATGCAAGAATTTTTTATTTATTTAAAATTTATAATTCAACTTATAAAAATTAGTTACTTAAATACTTAATACAGAAAAATTTAGGGAATTATCTGAACTTAATTTATTTTTAAAATTTTATTTATTATTAAAATAAATAATCATATGCATTTCAAGTTAATCTTCTGTGAAGCTGTGTCGTTTATCGGTTAACATATTTTTAAAGACTGAAAACGAACCTTCGATGTCAACCGAAGTTATTGGGGCATATTTAAAGCAAGTGGTATGTCGATAATCGACTGATACAGCAAGAGAAATTAAGTTTACGTCGTTATCGATTATTTATTTTATAACTAAATATATATATATATATATATATATATAAATTATTATTTAGTAACTATGAAATTTATTTTTAATTTTTCTACTAGACAAAATATTATTTTATACATATTTTTTTTAAATTTTCACTTCAATATGCAATAAATTTTGAATTTTGCCAAAATATGCAAAAATATGCAATAACCTCTAAATATGCAGAAATATGCAAAAAAAAATTTCACCATTAGCTTCAAATTATGATGATTCGTGGTGATACTGACAAAAATCCAAAGATATTGAAAGGAAAAAAATATGCGATTGCATAGAAATCCGCACTCTAATTATAACTAAGGAGAAAAGCGAGAAGTTTAGGGTAATTGTTGTTAAGTACCTCGTAAATTAAAAGCTTGGATAATATTGATATCAGTGCATTTTTTGAACAGGATTTTTTTTCGTTGCAAAAATATAATTTCTAATTTTAAGCTTGGCATTTTTTTTTTACTTTTTGAAAATTTTTTTGGGGAATATCAATATTATTTTTTACGCCATAATGCTTATATATTATATATATTATAAATACCTATGTATTATTATTAATTGTTATATACTATTATATAATCATCATTATAGTTATCATTATAACTATGTCTATTATAATCATTAAGTTTTTTTTTCATAGTTTGATGTTATTTACGTCTATAGATAGCAAAATTTCAACCGTCGATGATGGCTATCGTTTATTTGAAAATTTGCCCATACTAATACGAGTACAATATATCTAGATACATGTGTTTTATTCATTTCGGTCTCGACACTTATAAATTATATTATTACATTTTATTATTAATATGCTGTGGGATCATTGTCGTGTTTGGCATGAGTTTTATATAAATTAAAATACATACTAATTAATAAGTAATCTAATGTGATTACACTCTGCAATCGACAATTCCGGTATATTATCACGTATTATTCTAATATTATAATTCGAATACAAAATATTCTATATGTATGAAATAAAATTAGTAACAAGAAGTAATCATTAAGACTAGTATACTATAATAGAATTTAAAATTTATTTTAAAATTATGTTCAAATAAATTTTATAAATAGATGTTGGCATAATCATAAAAGAAATCAAAGTTAGAGATTTTTCTTCAATTAAAAAATGTTTGTAGTACAAACGTATCAGCTAGAAATTTTATAATGGTAGATACTTATATGTTTACTGGAATTACTAGGATTTTGGCATACATCGATAAAATATACAGGAGAAGTGTCTTATTCATATTTAAGATTTATGCGCATTTTAGGGGGGGGGGGCGTGTTTTGAATAATTTTGAATTTTTTTTAATTTTTCTATTTTTGTTCCCTATTCATCGCCAATAAAAAGCTGTATCCAAGTTGTTGTCAAGTTTCAAATATTCATTTTTTCTCTACCTTGATTGAACATTTTTTTCCATTTTTCGTCAAATCTACTACTTTTATATCCTTAGAACTGAAGGTTGGGATCAATGTAGAATGTTCGTTCTTGTTTTATTTGACAGTTGTGGCTGTAGGTATTAAGAAATCATAAAAATATCTGCATTTATATTGCCCCTCTAGCAGCCATGAATGCCGTTTAACCCCGTTTAGTTGTGCAGAATATAATAAGCATTGTACGGTTGACCGTTGTTCCATTGCTGGCACGACGCGCTTTTTCTTTTTTAAACTTAACTTGCAGGTCAACTGACCTATTTGATATGATCATTATTTTTAACGTTAACTATTAATAAGTTTCATTTTTATTGAGGCCAATTAGTTCAAATCTTAAATCCATCAAGATGTATTGTTAAAAATGGGGGAAATATATTATTTTATAGAGAAAATGAGATATACGAGTATGTATAATATATGTCTGCTATGTCCGCTATTACTTTAAGAACATGAACATTATCAACAGACTGATTAAAATAAACCAAAACCTATCTTATTCACTCACAGTGAATATAAAATAATATTCACAAAAACTTATTCATTTTCTCTTTGAAATGCGTCGCGCTTTAAGAGAGATAACTAAGTGTTAATAATCATACTCATATTTGATTTTATCCTATTATTTTTAAAAAATCCTAAGACCTTCATCGGAACCACTCAAATACTCAAAGTGCATATTAATTTATCAAACTATGTAGTTAAGTAATTAAATAAAACATAACTATGCTTGTATTCAAATTTAAGTTGTTAATATTCATAAAAATAAATATATTATTTTTACTTTTAAAATAATATTCTCACTTGATTTCCTTGCACCAAGAGTGTTGTGGTATTATACGGAAGTTTTTTCGGTAACATTTTCAAACCTCTATAGCTACAGTCAACCGTGATCATTGGATGCAAATAGTGTGATGCTCCTTTGTTACCGTGGACTATATGGTCCAATGTACACACACAGTTGTCAGGTGGGCTGCTAGGGCATTCTTTTTCTAAGTCCTGATCAAACACAAAAATTCAATTCAAATTCGAATTTAATAAATACCTATTGGAAAATATTTTTTGAACGCATATTTTTTGGGGAGCACACGAGTTACGTCCGGTAAAAAAGGTATACACGAATTACATCCCAAAAAATTCATGTATTTTAATTAAGAGTTCTTAAACAACTAACAAAAAATAAATAAATAATAATAATAATAATGTTAATTCAAACTTGCCATCGACATATACTGTTTTAATTTCAATTAAAAATTCTAAATTTGATTTACATGTAAACATTACTATACCATAAATAGAATAGCTCGATATGAATTATTTTTATATACCGAATATCTGTAATTGTTAATGTACTTTTAACACTGATATCAATACTTTATTTTAAATGTCGATGCATAATTAGTTTAGGATTAGGTTAGCTGGTTCTTCATACTTTCCACTCTTGTGTACCTTTTCGCTTAAGAGAATTACTTACAATTTATCGATTTATAACTGTTTCAGATAGTGCATCCTGGTTGTGGTCAATATCACTCACGTTAAGTAAAATATCATAATTTTCATTAATTTTTAAATATGATTTACACATTTTAACGGTACATTTCCAACGTTGAATATTATTAGCCAAACATTTATGAAAACAGAACTTATATTTGTCAATTATTTTCAAATGTTTTTGTTTTTCACTAATAATATTTTGCACTTCCATCTTAAAACTAAACAGTTATCACTGCTCACGTAGGTATACGAAACACCACGGAGAACCCCTGAAACGAAATAAAACCCTACTACCTAACAAATATATGGTGGGACGAAATTCGTGTATACCTTTTTTATGGGACACAATTAAGGCGATAAAATACGATTGAGAATGTTATTTTTGGTAACACGATTGAGAACACTCGAGTTTTTTTTTTTCAACGTTGCCAAATGTAATTGATCGATAATTTAAGCACAATAATCTGTTGATATTTATCGGAATATCTGGATATTAATAGTAACTTGGGTACCAGATACAAGAGAATGACGATTAGGCTTTGCAGTCGTCGCATTAACTATTTATTCGTATTAGGTATTTTTATAAGGTCTATATATTTTACAATTTTTTTACACATATATACACTATACAGGTATAAGATATTTTTATAAGTCCTACATATTTTTAATTTTTTATTCATATTATATATTACATATAATTAGGCGCTTATTTGTATACGATTATAATTATTAATTTATGACTTTTTTCAAGAATATTTATTGTATGTATATTGAATTTTTCAAAAGCCTAATATGGGAAACTATGGCAACGTTGCACATAAATTCGTTCTCAATCGTATCGTTTTTTGAGTTTTTTTTAGGTCAGCGGTTTGTTCTTTGTTAATTTTAAGTGTTCTCAATTTTTCGGCCAAAAAGGTATAACGTTCTCAAGTGCTCGATAGCCAACTAAGGTGTATCGATTTTATGACCTGGTACACACGTGCAGCACCGCAATATTATCTTAACTATAGTACTATATTCAAATTCTGATGCAGGGCCATCGATAACCTCGTATGACGTAAAGTCCTACAAATCGTTTGCTGGTGGGTTTATTTAATTGCGAATCAAATTAAAAAGAATTTGTAATATATTTTATTAAATATTTAATATATTTCTAATTGAATAATATTTAATTGTGGAATTTTCAATGATGGAAGTGTATAACCAAAAACGGGCGTTTTTTGCGTATTTAATGAAAAAAATGTCGAAGAAAAACAGGCGTTACAAAAAGCTTTCACTGTTGCAAAACTTCTAAGAGAATTTTTTTCAACGGCAAATTAAGATTTAAGAAATAATCCAGATTTCAGGTTAATTTTTTATTACTAAAATAAAATGCTCGATGTCTATAATTTCGCATAATGATGACGGTACCATAACTACATCAAAGACGTGTGTATATATAATAAATCACTATGTAATGAGACATTGCATTTACAATATGTTGACGTTTACTTTAATAGAGTAATTTTTGTTTCATGATAACTCGTAACGATGACGTACAGTGACTGAGACGAGTGTTTATCGGTCAATTAGTTTATGTGTATAAATAATCGCAATTACAATAATGCTGCGGTGTCACATGTAAAAAACACACTAGGCCTATTAGTTAAACTAAAAGTTCAATATTACTAAAAATAAATTTTTATTAAAATATTTAAATAAACATAATAAATTAAATAATATATAATATATATATATACAATATACATAATATATACAATATATTATATTAATTACAAAATTTTCTATCTGTTTAAGCAACTGCTTATGTTGAGATAGATAATCATACAATTTGATGAAATATAAGGCAAATAAACGTGATTTATGTAATAATAGAATAAAAAAAAATTTAAATATTGAAATTATTTGAAAATTTGATTGGACAGTTTTACATATACAATTTTAGTTTATAATTACAATTTCATTTACACTAAAAACTTTTTTTTTTATTGTTTAGAAGAAATATACAATCTTTTGCTGATTGGAACAATAAGAATATGTGATGAAGGATAGTTTTACATGAAAGTTTGATGTGAGGAGTTAGCCAGTGATAAAACTACCCTAACGTTATTGTTATTCTTTTAATCATTTAGAAGATCGCGACACCAATTTCTTTTGAGTCTTCTGAGGGGGTTTCCAGGTATTATGAGTGATGCAAGGTTAGATATGAGGGGATTGATATAAGAAGGAAGTTTAGAGTAGAATCTTTTGTAATACCTACCTAATTTACTGCTTTTTCGTGAGCGGTTTTAATTTTTAGATCTGTGTGTAATGTTAGGTTTGAAATATAGAATGGATAATTTGTGATTTTGCGAAGGATATTATTTTGGAATACCTAAATTTTATTGATATTTATTTTTTTAAGTATTGCCCCAAAGTTGTAGGCCGTAGATCCACATAGGCTTAAGTAGGGATTTGTACATTAATAGTTTTGTGTTTAAAGGAGTGTGTTTGTTAGATATAAGCGTAATGATATAAATTTTTATTTCTGTACGTTGATTGCGGCATAATTAATATACAATACGAACAAGGTCGTTACCGCCGCTCGCGACGAACAATAAATCGCTGCTGTCGTCCACGGCGTGCGATAAGGACGACTCCTTAGAACGGTACGTTTTACGTAATAGCGAAAAATGTAGGTAGACGACGGCGTGTTATTGAATTTTTATTATTTATAAACAACTATAGAGACAATATTTAAATTTGTAATCTTATATATGTTAAATTAAAAGCGTAAACGTCAATTAGTAGATTTTACATATTTAACATAGTAAATGTTAATGACGGAAAAAAAAAAATAATGAATCACAAAAACGGAGTATGCGAGGCGGTGTGTACGCGACGGGCGCCGAACGTGAACTGACACTAAAAATAACAACATATAATAAATATTATTATATAAAAATGTTAAAAATGTATTAAATTATACTAGTTGGAAAAAAATCAAGTGGTATATAATTTTTTTAGGATTAAGTTTGATAGAGTAAACGTTTTTTTTTATATGAATATGGCATTTTGTTTAAAGTATTTTCGCCTAATCCACCCCAGACTAACTAACCCATCTAGGTATAAATCACTGATCAAGTGAATGTAAAATAAGAATAAAATCGGGCCCAATACACTTCCTTGAAGGACACCGTATTTATTTATACCTTCATAGCTTAAGACATTATCAATCCTAACCATTTACATCCTATTTAAAAGATAGCTTTAAAATCATGATAAACTAACTTTATCAATCCCGAAAGAAAATAGGATTTGCATCAAAATGTCATGGTTTACCATATCGAAGGCTTTAACTTAGTCTAAGAATACAGCAAAGAATTTACTACTGTTGTCTAGTTCATTATGAATTATAAATTTATAAATTCATTCATTAAAAATCATCATAAATCAGTGCTTAACATTATGCCGTTTGTATTATCAATTCTACATTAAATTTAACTTTTCTAAAAATATCTTTTCTCAATATCTCAAACTCACTATATTTCTTGATTACTGTTGAATCAAAATGATTATTTAATTTTTTACCTAATGGTTAATTTTTTTCAATCATCGACTTTTATTTAGTATCAAATAAGTATGTAACTACTATATAAATAATGAATGCGTTAATATATTATAATATAAAACATACGCTTAACAGACGTAATACGGGGATTACGGGTTTTCCAGGGTACTTATAACCACCACAAATCATACGGTTGGAATCCATTACTTTGAAATTAAACAGTGGGTCTTTTGGCAAATGAAGTAACCAAAATAAATCATTTTTACAAAACCATGACTGACCTAGAAGAAAAAATAATACTATTATTCATCATATTATTACAGAAGAGAAACATTTATATTATATTGTAGGGCTTGAAATCAAAATAATATTTTTCAATTTCAATTTTAATTTCGCTTATCGATATCATATGTCTTTTATTATTTTAAATTATTAATAATATATCAATTTTATGATTTTCATGTTGGTGAAAATTATTAATTTAATTGATTTCTGATTTAAAATTTGACTTTAGTTTTAAATCTCTTTTACATTTTTGTGTTTTTTATATTGATTTATTTTCAATTATGTTTTGGTTTCATCTATAATTATTAATGTGAATTTTTATGTTTTATTAATTGCTTAAATACTACTAGGAAAAAGGATGAAATGTGTTTTTGAAAATGTAAAAACATGGTAAATAATAACAGTCAAAAATGGAGAAATACTTGCTAAAAATATTTGCTACAACAAATAAATGGCAGTTAGATACGTTAATTACGCCATCAAGCGTCAAAAAAAGACAAGTCGAAGTTACACTCATAAATATTTTTTCAGGCTTTAAACTTACTCAATAATAATTGAACAGCACGTGTAAAAATATATGTAATCACAGAATTGCCCATCAAAATTTTTTCAAACTTAAAATCGATTTTTCTATCGATTTCCATTTATTAAATAAAATTTCAATATCAATGTCAAGTATGAATATCGAAAAAAATCATTCTCAATTTTAATATTACCTTTGAAATTTTAAAAGATTTTTTACGATTTTTATTGATATTGAAATACATTTCAAGCCCTGCTATATTGAGTATTATAACAAATTGATTATTTTTTATTAACTAACCAGCCAACCAAAGCTGCTTCAGTTTTGGTAAATACTCTATTGTAGGCGGGTACAAGTAATTGAGTTTATTGTAACTCAAATCCAAAACTTCCAACGATGACATGTACCTGAATACACTTGGTTTAACCCGCTCCAAGTTCAGGTGAGATAAATTTAATGTCTATTAATAATATAAAATTGAAATAATTCCACATATCCGATAACAATTCAAAGTACATTAGTACATTAATTATAGAGTTAGGCACTTTTTTACTATCTTTATTGACAATATTTCTTATATATAATGTTTTATAAAAAATCAATAATACGCTCACTATACAGTAAATTCGTGTGTATATGTGTATATTCTACTCCGTAAAAAATAAAATATGTTAAAACTTCTTTTCACGTCATGAATGTGATAAATATTAAATTGTATGTCAGTGTAGTGTGATATGTTTGTTATAATTTTCGCGTGATGTTATGTTATACTTATTGTCAGTGGCGGATCTAGGATTTTATCATGGGGGAGGGGGGATTATAAAATATTTTCGTACATAATATGTATAGGTATTATAAGCTTTATTCTACTAAATTTACAAAAAAAAATTTAATTTTCTTGATGATTGTGCCATTACTCTATGGCTGTATCTCGGGGTCATGATTAAGTACGAGATGTATATCCGTAATCTGATATGAAGTTAGATACTAATGTATACTAGTGTATCCTTCTTGGTTACGAAATAATGAAAACGAAATAATAAAAAAATAGTTTTTATTTAAATTGTGCATGCAAAAATTGAATTGGTTGCAAAAAAAATTTTTTTAACTCTCGGCCCACAGAGGAGGGGATCTATCCCCCATATCCACCCCCGTAGATCCGCTACTGCTTATTATTATAATTGAGTTAGTGTATTTGTGTGTATTGATAGTAAAAATATTCAAATTTGTACAAAACATTTAAGGAAGGTCATTATGAGGTTCGAAGTACTATACCCTATTATTATTATTATTAATTTTGATTATCGTCGTTTTTCAAAAGATTCCCTCTCCTTCTGTGGAAAAATACAAACAATAATTTAAACATTTTTATGTAACTCGCGTACATTATCATTATGTAAACAAAACAATCTGTTTGATGTTTACTTATAAAATATTATGAAAATAACATGAATTATAACAATATATAATATATATATTGATTTTATTTTTAAAATAAAAAATTAATAAAATGTGAGGATGGCGCAATATTATACAAGTTTTTACTGATTCTGTTTAAGTAAAGTAGCTTACGTAAATATACACTACCAAATTCTGAATTTAAAAAGAAAAACTGTATTAGTACTATTGTATAATGAACCCAATATACATTATTATACGTATAAAATACAAAGATAACTTGATTTATTATATATAAATATATTAAAACATATAAAAGCTTGAAAGATATATATTACCATCAGTAATAGGTAATATATGTATTAAGGTGGCCCTTAGTTATAAGTGAATAAAAAAAAAAAAATATTTTTGATTTCTTGTCCCCTCATTTTGTTCATTCTTATAAGAAATAAATTTGAATTGAATTTGTTCGTGATTACTAACCCTCTCCACGTGCTACCAGGGAGTTGAAAAATTAGTAAATAAGGTGCCACAATAAGGTTGAATATTTCCAAACCCGATAATAATAGGTTTTATTTTATTTCATTCGAAATATATTGTATTAAGCATACAATTGTAGAATCAAATACTGTCAATAAAAAATATTATAATAATATTTCTGGGGAGTTTATTTCTTATGAAAAATAATATAACATATAAATTATTACCTTTTTCTGGAAAAATCGATTTTTTCACAGTTTTTACAATATATTTTTAAAACGATTGCTGTTATGGTCATATACAAACAAAATAAAATTTAATTATCTATAACCTATATTCTTTACAAGTGTTTGACATAAAGTAATATATGTATAAATATACAAAATGTTAACTTAATATTAAGAAATATAAATAAATTTATTTTGAATATTGATGATAGCTCTTCGACAAATCTTACGAAAGTACAGTTGTTTGCAGGTATTAGACAAAGGTGACCAACTTATAAGTATATTAATTATAATAATAAAAATGAAATAATACATCAATATAATAGGTGCTAGGCACAGAGTCCTACGACAAAATTATAATACTAGAAAACAATGACATAATTGATAATTTATAGAAATAATTAAACCAATTTGATTTATTTATAATCGATGTTACCTTTATCGTATCGACGTCAATACGTCGATCGAGATATAGGGTAACCTCATAACCTAGTAACAATATTGTTTACTATAAAAGATCATTGAGATCCACGCAACACAAAAACCCGCGCGTGAACCAAATGATAACGATGAAGACGCACAGCACCATGAGGTCGCAGGGACAGAAACGATCCACAATATTCAACCCTCTTATGGCACGTGTTTACCAAATTTAATTCACATTTTTCATATAAAACAATAGATAAATGAAAAATATTATAGATATATTTTTATTAAAAATATAAATATCTATAATTTAATTTATGTACATTTTTACGAATGTATAAGTTTAATAATTTATTGAGTATATTCAAAAAACTACAAACCAACCCTATTTACTAATTTTTCAATAATCTGGTGGCACGTGAAAAAGATTAGTAAACAAATTACTAAATTTAACTAAAATTTCTATTTTATAATAATGAAAAAAACAAGGGGATGAAAAATCAAAAATATTAAATTTTTTTTTTACCTATAACTAAAGACCACCCTAACATATATATAAGTGAATAATATAATTGGTTTTGAGTTATTAATATGTATTACATTTTAAAGTGATGCAAGATTAGCATGTAGTTGATAAACTTAAAAATAACATGATATAAAAATATTTCATGGTGAATAATTTCAATATAAAAAATACATATTAGATTTTAGTACCAATGCATTGGTTACGATTGTCACATAATTATAAATTATAACAGTGGTGGATCAATATTATCTATATTATTTATATTTTTTGATGGTGGATACTATTTTGCTAATAATGATCTTTTATGTACAACTTCCAGGTAAAACCAAACTAATAATTTGGAGTTTAAATGTTCAGGAAAATCAGTTGTTTCATGTGCAAGTATTTTGTTTGCTCTCTAGAAAGATATGAACTTTCTTAACCCTTGATCTCCTCTTTAAATACCCATGATTATATTTAACCAAAAAATTAATGCTACTTTTTTAACATGTTCGATTTTATTAACATAAAAAACGTAGCTACATCATTCATCGACTTTGAAATTATAAGCAATACAAATAAAAATATAGTTTTCATACATAATTGCATTTTAAAATTATAGATATACGTATATTATTACGTCATAACAATGTAATAATTTACACGATTAAAATTTATATTTGTCAAGTCCTCAAACTGAATTCTTCTCTTATTATTTTCTAGCAAACTCATTGACAACTACGTCAATATCTACAAGTTTATCTTTATAAAAATGTATTACTACTAAACCGTTGAATCTAAAATCAGTCAATGTAAAGCGTACTTAATTTTTTAACTTTCTTAAAGGTCGAAAATAACCTTTCAGAGGTTGTAGTAAAAAACTGAATGCGTTGCTTATATTTTTTTAATATTTATAAGAGTATTTTATATTTGAAAATAATTGTTTATTTAATATTTGATATATTATTGCATTATACACTATACAGTATACATGGCAATATCTGATGTCTAAATAATTTATAATACTAAAAAAAAGAGTTCAATACGCAGAACTGTGGGTCATTTAGCTTCTTAGCACACTCCTCCTTCTAAATCCACCACTAAATTATAATAAGTCATAGATTGTGAGACGATCTTCGTTGAAAAATACACTGTACTACCATTCATTTTAAAACAGTCTATTCTAAAAGCAGTGTTCACTTAAAAATTGAATCATTTCATGTTCAATGCTTAAAAAATAAATTTGTGCACGTTCATGTTCATTTATTTTAAAGTGAACACGTTCACATTCAAGTTTTATGAAAAAATTAATGCGTTTATTTGACCGTTCATTTAAATTTTTTATTTTATATTTATAAATCACCTACCTCTGTTTTGTATAAATAGGACCTTACAAAATTTATTAGATATATTTTACTTTATGTCTATAAGAAAATAGAAATAGGGCCTTCTGGGCCACCTATACCTCCACACCCCACACCCGCAGCTAACCACCACCCAGCCACCCGCTGCCGTTACTTTTTTTTCGCCGCCTGATTGTTTACGTAACCTGTGTTTAATATACCCCCCTCGATATTTTTTCCATTTTCATTTTTCTTCACGCTGCCCGATCGTTCATGTAACCTATGCATATTATACCCCCTATATATTTTTCTATTGGAAAATTGTCAAATCTTTTCCTCCATATCACCTACCATTATACTTCCCCTCATTAGTTAAATGATAAATTCATTAACACCTCCCCTTTTACCACACTCTAATTATTTGATCAAAGTGAAATTTTAAGACTATAAATTATTTAAAATATTATATTAATACGGAAAGATTACCTCGACAACAGTACAATTTATAAACGACTACATAGAGCGATAATGAGTTGTAACATGGCCATTTCCAGGAATGTTAGTGACTGCACGTGTAAGATTTCTAATGCCGGTAGAACATTAAGTATAATGCTGGTCGAGATATGCTCAAGAATGAAATCAATGCATACAAAATCATCAGAAAAATCGGAATTATTGTTTATAAATTATTATATTATTAGGGAAAAATGGTTTACCACCCAATGTGCTTGTTGTACACATTTTTCCGAGAATTAGTGATATTGAATAAAATTATGAGCTCTTACCACATATGAAATCAAAATTAAATCATTGTGTCCTTTAGTCCCCCACCGATCGCACATAAGTCTTTGCTTGCTTTTTATTTTCACAGTCATACTCAAGTTTTAACTCTCATCGCTACGTTTTATTTGTCCGTTGCATTATTTCAAGCATACCGAAAATTTTTAACCGCGAAGTTTGCGTAAAATCTTTTTCGAGTAAAGATCATTTAACAAGTCATGCTAAATTCATAGCGTTATACGTGTTATTTGTAGTATATGTCCTACGACATAAGCCGACGCGATGCTCTTGCAAGACATAT